GTAGCTAAAGCCACAAAAAAAAGTCTTGAAATTCAAATGGAACGATATCATAATCAACACCAAAAACTTTAGGGCAATTAAGCAACGTTGAAACGATCATAACAAAACACATTTACATGAAGACTAACAAGAAAATGGAAGTAAAGCGTGAAAGAAGAAACAATTTAGTGAATATTCTGACGAAAGTAGCTCCACCATAAGCCATCTCGCTCCCTTCAAAAGTTCATGCGGCCACATCGTTGTTAAACAAGCCATCATTTACTCCTAGTGTCGCTGCTAGCATTTGACACACCCCAAACATCTCCAAAACTGGGAGTGACGGGGAGGGGGAGGAGAGGGGGAGTACGACATCCGACAACCATCTGACTGTCTGCCGGAGCACTTACTTTACTGAAATACCACTTCGACCGGGATCTTTCCCTTTCTAGTGACAACATACCTAGCCAGTCTACTGCTCATTTCTCCTAAAGTGCCTTCAAGTCCATAAGAGGAGCAGAATGCATCAAAGGCATAACCACCACTTCCAATAAGTCGAGTAAGAACAGTCATCAACTTTTCCTAGCAATGAGTAGATGATCACTTCAAAAAGGGGTCCACATTAGATTAATGCCACTCACCTGCATATTCCACAACTTGTCAATCACATGTCTTGCCTGTACAGCGCTCAGGACGACAGCAACTTGTGTTTGGCGCTGCACATCATCCCTTGTCAAGCAGGCAAGTCCTTGTATCATTTTCAACTGTTCGTTTCTGTGAAAAAAAAGCAATTCAAAATAACAATAGTGTTGATCAGAACGGAAAACGAACCTCTGCGCAATGAGAAGCTCTCCGTCTGCATCAGACATTACTTTTTCTGATATGAGCTGTCGTACTATAGCTCTAATTGTATTGTCCTTCACGATTGAGTCCACATTGTCGATGACCTGAAAGGAGAATACAAACGCAGTCGTCAGTTGCGAACCTTGGTGGCGTTGGTTTTGCTCTAGGGTGCAAAATCTGAAGAAGAGGGAGAAGATGAGAGATTCAATGTAAGGCCTCCAGCCGATTTCCACCCAAAACCATTCAATAATAGATGACCAAGGACTCTCCCCTGTCTATGGTGTGTGAACAGATGGGCTACCCATGGCACACAAGGAATATTAGAATTTTTTTCTTGTTCTGATGACAGCCGTCACACTGAATAGGATCAGGGGCCGTATGCTATGCTCCCCCAACAGGGGAGGGGTCCCCGTCCCGGTATGCTATGCTCCCCCCGACAGTTCTCGGGGAGAGGCCACGCCCACCGATAGCCGGGGATA